TATGGTTCCCATTAGAGACTCGAACATCGCATTTATGAGAAAAGTGAAGGTTATAGCAGTTCACATCTCAAGTCATTTGTAGTTTTACTTTGAATTTAATAGTAAACGTGATTGTCTGGTCTTTGTGTGTTTCACTTTTTTTTGGTAGAAAAAAAATATTGCCTTTAACAATAAATGTTATTTTTAGTTTTAGCTGTAGATCGCGTATATGATTTTGCAGTCGATAGCATAAATGTCGAAGTTCAGATAACGCCTGGAAAAACAGATCTACATCGGATTTCGACAAAAAAAATCAGCCGTGCACAACTGTTTCTCGAAATTCACATACAGATCGATCTCCGACAGATGCGGCTGGGAAACCGCGCGTAGTGTTCGAACAAGGCTGTTAAAACAGCGTCAGGGGACAGATCCGTAGCGATACGGACGGATTCGGCCGTTGTCGATCGACGGGAACAATAGGGCGAACGGGAATGACACGTAGCGTGCGCACACGGCGGCAGTCCCGGTTCCATATCAAACTCGGTCGGGTTGATCGTCATGGGCATGTGAGACCGGGCGGGGTTGAAACGACACAGACAAGATAAGTTAACCGGACGGTCGCGAACGCATTCTTTTGTGCTTGCTTCTGAGGTCGGCTGACTCCATTGCCGAAGGACAACGGGACGATCCGACAAACGGCTTCTGGTCTCTTTGTAGGTTTGCCCGTCGCACGGATCACGGTCCCCAGCCCTTTTCCCGAGCTCCTTTGTCGACTGTACGCCGTTTAATTACTACACGCGCCTCGGGAGGCAGGAGGTGAAAAGCGCGGGAATCGGCGACAACGCGTTATAAAAATGGGTAGCGTACTACTGAATTAGCAAGTTGCTTGTAAAACATCAAAAGTCGTGCACATCCTCTTTCACCTCCTCTCTGAAATGACATGTAGCGCGCGCGTATTTTCTCTATCTATTACATCTCTTCCTTCGTCGTCTCTCTGCTGTATTTTAGTTTTTACAACGTAAGAACAAAATAGCGAGATAACTCAACGAAACAAAGAGCGCGCGAACGAGTTAACATGTAGATCGTTGTAACGAGGAAAAGAGAGTGCCGTGTAAAAGGTTTCTCCGTGTCAAAGATGGAGATGATTATGTGACATGTCACAAAGCAACGTACTCTTACGAGATAAGAGAAGAGCAAACCTCGATTTTAAGTAGCACCGTGCGTGCAACAGCTTTTTTATATTGTCTGATAAAATAAATGTGTGTTTAAAAAAAAAGATGACCTTGCGTAAATTGAGTACAGACGATCTGGTGGTGTATACAAATAAAGACACGTGACAGGGAAAAGTAGAAAAACGTTTTTCCACTCCTTCCTGTCACGTGACTTTAGTCGTATGAGACTAATGTGCAAGCTATTTACTAATTGCAGATAGGCATGTCTTGATTGTCGGTACATCCATTAATCATCTTTGATCAATTTTTATTCTCGCGGATTTCACATTTGGGAGTGAAGACATGTGTTTCAAATCCATTAATTAATGACATATATATTTGATTGATGGAATGTAATTAATAACAGAATAATATATATACGAAACTTGTGGATGTTAACTGTTGTGTAATATTGCCTGATGATTGAAATTATTAGACCACTCATTATTACCTTTTCATAATTAATGACGCACGATTTAGTACAAAATTCGAGATTTAGAGGCACGTATTTCGAATCACATAACTATATTTCTCTTTCCATTAGAAGATGCGCAAATTGATGATAATCTCACTCTGTGTGTAAAACACGAACATATATTTCTACATTAAACGGTTGTGATTCAAGAGGTGCTGCGCATTACTTTAATAATTTAATTACAAGTTATTACATTTTATGAGATATGTGTGCTTTTTAGAGTTTTTCATTAAATTTACATTTTTTTTTGTAGTTGCCAAAAGAAAGTGAATATTACATATTGTTTAAAGAGAAGACGCAAGCATTTAAAAAGAAAAACGATATATCCATTTTCATATTAAATAATTAAGTAATAAAAATAAATTTACTTTTAAAATAATTGTTTATATCCTACTTAAAATACACATCAATAAAGTCAAAAATGTACTTTTATTGCTATTACTATTTTATACTATTATTACTATTTTAAACACGATTTTTAAGCAGACATGTCAGCGCGCGTTGGCTTTCTCGTCCCTTGTATACAAGAGAAGCAGGTCAGGTGAAGTTACGGAATTTACAGACACACAAAGTATTTCAGGGACAATTAATGTTGCTACTTCCGGACGGTATACAGTATTGTCAGTAAGCAGTCCGGAACCAACGGCAACATAAACATTGGTAAGTTTGCCGGCACCAAAGCGTAACTGGTCAATGCCAAATTAGCTCTCGCACTCTAAACACCGAGTTTGCGCAGCCTACGTTAAGGTGAGCGAGCACACTAAACGGAGCGCAATCACAGACCAAAGTTTGCTTTGTTCTCTCTGTGCGCCAGATAGATTAATGGCCACCGAATTAGATACTGTCATGTGAAGATCTCAGTAGCATTGTCCGCACGAACATCGATTAATAGCTGTTTAATTAAAAGATCGAGTGACAATGGTCGACGGCTTGAAAAGCATAACAGAAAGTACAAATACACTATTAAGAGATGCGTTTCAATAAACGATATTTTATATATCAAAGTTTTTAAAACTTGTATACACTAAAATACTCAATTATTCAAGTAAATATAGAAGCGAGAAAAAAATATTCACCTATAACTTTTTCTATTGTTTTTTTCTTTTTAAATGTCTACATTTATTTATCTTTTCCCTTTACTCGCGTTGCGTCGATTTGATTTTGAGATTGTAATAATGTTTTAAGGTCTCATCTGTCTTTTCGCAATGCATATTCCTTTCTTGCTCGGAAGCTAACGCGTTAAGTCTACTGCGAAAACCCAAGGGAAAGAAGTAATGCTAATTAGATTGTGCGGGTATCATCAATTCATCGTTAGAGACGGAAATTTCCCGCCGAAGTAATTACTCGCTGCCGAGGAATTATGTGCCGTTGTTCCGACCTAGTGGAAGTTGACTCGCGGAAGTTCGTAATGTGCCGGATGTCGTAGTCTCGGGAGCTCGGTGTCCTGTCTCTGCAGATAGATATCTAGGCCATTGAAAGGATGAATGCACATCCTCGAATTCACAAGCTCTTATTCGTGATGAAATACTGCACGAATATATGCACAATATATTTATACAATAAGGTTACAATGTAACCTTTACTCGTTGTTTTAATCAAAGTTGATTTAGAAATTGTCACATTTTTATATTTTTTTCAAGAATTTTCATACAAATAATAAATTTTACATGCAGCTCGCAAATATAAATATACATTTCATTTATTTATTTACTCGTGTAAAAAAATTATTAATTTTTAACAAAGAGTGACGAGAAATTAAAAGAAAAACTAATTCACCTTCTAGTTTAATAAGTTTCAGAAAGCTTTAATGGTTATTGTGGCAACTTATGTCATTAATTCGGAATTAGTATAAAACAATAGTAACTGTATAATTAATGAATCTTTATCAACAAACTTTAAATCGAACAATACTCGGAATGTTTCATTTATCGATAATTAATAGGAGCTACGTGCTCTTAATAACGATTTAAAATGAGATATTTTAGCATTTTTCAGTCACGTACGAGTCAGAAGTTCTATAGAAATTATTTTCTATGAGAATTATTATGATTATGGATTTACTTGCAAAGATTATTATTACTATTGTATGCATATTACGTGCAGGGTTACGATTCACAAAATTATTTTGCTCTAATTAAGCGTTGCAATGCAATTTGGCCGCAGCTTGCGCGCCTACAAATTCATCGGAAGTTCAGCCATGCAAGCATTTTTCGCAACGAAGAGAGTATTATCTTCTGGAAATATAATAAATATTTCATTACAATTTTCACACAAGTCGGCCGTTCTTAGCCTTTGCAGCGTGCAGCAAAATAAATAAATTTTGCCGTTCTTCGGATCGCACATTTCTATTGAGTTCATCTCCAATAGTTTGAAACAAATTAACCGTCTGTCACCGAGGAAAATATATAAAGAAAAAACAAACCCTTTGCCTTCTCTCTCTCTCTCTCTCTCTCTCTCTCTCTCTCTTTCTCTCTCTTTAAGCTTTTGTCAGCATTAATATAAAATAGTCTGTTTGAAAGTCTCGTTGAAATGTTACATCCTATGCAATTTCATAAAAACACAGGTTAAGTCCGCAAAAGATGCAGACAATGTTTACAGACCGCGCGAGTGTAAAAAATTTAAATAGATATAAATAACATGTAATTTTTGCGGTACATCAAATTTGCATAAAAACACCCGCTAGCGGATGCTGTACGCGTAACTCATTATCTCAAAAACATTGTGACGTGCGTCCTGATTAAAGGATACGTATTTTGTTTTTGCAAAACTCAAGTAACGTGAGGTAAATAGTAGGCAGTGCTAAAAAACAGAAAAAACGAGCATAAAACTTGTTTGCCTGTGTCAATACATAATGACATTTTTTATATCGTGTGTCCGCCACGTACACATGTACTCCCCTTTTCATTTCTTAATGTAATTTACACAGTTATAGTACTCTCTCTTTTTGCATCTAGACAGAGATTTATAACAGTTTCTATTCGGAATAGTTTTTGATTTGATTGTAATCATTTATAATGTTTAAAATACTACAATCAGTATTAAACAAATATAATTAAATTATAAAAATTTAATTACACGTACACAAATCATAAAATTGTTAAAAACTGAAATTAACATTAGTTTGTTGAGCATTAGAATGTAATTAGTGTATAAATCCTGCTTAGATACATGTTATTATTTTTCCTCAGGAAGTCAAATGTACGTGGCGTAAATGCAAGATGGGGGAAAGCTCTTCGCTTGCCGGTTCGTAAAGCGTAAAACGTAATACGACCAAGATGCCGTGGTTGTATAAAAACTATATAATATTCTCGGTTAATTTTTAAAGTACCACTTACCCCGAAGATGAGCAGCCGGCTGCAGAAAGTTTCGCAGCTTCGCGCAGCACGTCTCATTTTTTTCCTTCATAATGTTGTAAAAAAAAAACCGTCATCGCTCTTGGATCAGAACGAGCGAACCACCTGAAAATTAGAAGTCCTCACTTAACTGTGCGCACACCCATATAATGATTCACCTATTTAGGTAAGTTTTAACATCCAGTTCGTCTAATTGGCCTCGCGATACTCGAGTAGCTAACGGCGCCATTTTCAGACGCAATTTCATTAGCGGAGATTGCCAGGAGCCGTTACACAGAAATCGACACAAGTTCGTATATGCGACGCATAAACTTTGCGTATCACATTTGCTTCGCAATATCAAACGACAGTTAAAGACTGCGACGGTTCAAACGATGCATCGTAGCACACGTACGTATTGGAGATCGGAAAAAACCTATGTCGCGTATCGCGATTTTACCTCATTGTCGAGCTTATTGGCACTCCCGTTAGACGGGCGTTATCAAAGAGATACGCAAAATCCATCGAATGCGTTCTCACGTGTGCGCGCGAGATCAGATATTCTCGAGAAGGGTTTTGATATCGGTATACGAAACCCGAGATTTGATATCTAATGTAAATATGGAGACGTGTGTATGTGTGCAAAAAGTGTGTACACGCATCGGATAAGTATATATCCGCGCAAGACATTCACGGGCTCTTAGGTGTCGAGGATGCCTGTCGCTATGCAGTTCGCAGGCTCTCCTGCGAATCCGTGGATCAACTTGCAGGCTATGAGACATTCTCGCGCTAGGAAATGCAGAAATGGTTCGTGATGCGCCGCTTTTACTCCGCGTAAAAGAAGATGCGCGGATGTCGCGACGTATTCCGATAACTCGTTTAACCCTGAACACGAGTGAGTTTCTGCTGTCGCACGTGTGTTTGGCAATAGTGGAATTTACATGATTTTCAGTACATACGTTTCTCGCGATGTTCTTTTACGCGGAATTATCTATATATCTATAGCAACAGCAGGCTTTTCGAAATAAATCATGTAATGAACATCCGATTTTCTGATTGTAATTTCGTGATTTAATGAAAAGTACATATTTGAAGCAACTTCGCGAAAATAAATGTTTATGTCCGCTGATCGTCGAACGGGAAGATTGATCACGCACCTTGCAGATGTGCGATAATTTATCTCTGCGCTCGAGTCATGCATCAACAATGTACTCTATTATTTATTTCTAAACAAAAAACAGGCAGGAATTTAATTTCTTTAATTTCTTCAATTTTGTGCTTCAAGTACCACTTATTTGTTTAATAAAATTTGTTTCTAAAAGTATTTATAAATAGATATTTAAACACTTGAAACAGTAACACAAATGATTTTCACAGATTATGTTCCGCGCAACGGTCGAACCGCGGACAGTATGGCATTAATATGAAATCTCGTTTATATACGTGTCGGTGTAACGTTTGCTTAGGCCGTGAAATTTCAGTTAGAAGCGCACTTAGTCGCGAATACATACGAAATTTAGTTTCTGTATCGCGTTACCACGGTAACAGGCTGACCGTTCTCTGTAATGCGGTTGGATAGGCCCGTTAGTATCCCTCTGGAACTTTAGGATGACGTCAGGAAAAGCAGAGAGAGAATAGGAGGAAGAGAGAAAACAAAGGAAAAAGCATACGATGAGAAAGAGTATCGAAAGGGGTTCTGACGAGGGTGGCGGAAGAGAGGAACATTAAAGTGACTGCACCGTGACGAATCATTTTGCTCATACGGGATGCAGGTAGACTCGCGAGAAAGTGAAACGTCCGTTAACATCCGGAACGAAATCGTTACAACCGGCCTGTCATTCTTGATCCCGTCGTCTGTTTTAGACCAGGCTTTTCTCGAGACCGAGCGCGCTCCGGGGGTCGTATATAACACGTTATCGCACGGCAAGGCCAACGAAAGGACGCGTTAACGCGATAAAACCATGACGCCAACGCTCGTCGCCGCGCATGATCTCGAATTACTATGCGTCGGCGGTCGCGATCTCGCATGGGAAGGTCGCCACGAGAAGTAACTGTGTAAAGTGATCCCCTGCGCAACAACCGCCATCGCGTCGCTAACATTATTTCTCTCGTTACTACCACAAGCGGTCTTGCTCTATCGCCCACTTAAGGTTGAGTAATGCAATATCGAGTATCTGCCGCTTAATAAATGTCATCCAAGCGTTTCATTTAATTTACCGAAAACGTGTTTCTATATTTCATACAAATATATGTATAATTTCCTGAATGATCAAATTTTTATTTGCGTTTTGAGAACATGTTTTATGTGTACAGATTAATTAAATACGAATTAAGTAAAAAACAAAATCAAAATTTAGATAGAACGTATTAATTCAGTAATTTAAGATGTAACGGAATCATTGGTCGGAATCGTAGTCTAAGATACAGACAACCAAATACGTAGCCAAGTTTGCTAAAAAGAGAGAAAATAAATAAACGTCGAGGTTGTAAACGCGGCTCCGACGGGGCATTAAAAATGATATTTTCATGCTCGACATAGGTTCTTTCCGGAATAACCTACCCCTAGTTACGATCTTGCGAGCTATATACTTGGCGAGCGTAATGCGCGCGGTCTCCCCCAGTTATTCAACGTTCTCTCTGCAGCGCTTTCCGGCATCCGGAACGAAATCTCTACCGACACGTCATTCTCCGACATCCACGGACCGTCGGAGTCTTGAAGGGCGAGAACGAGCGGCAGTGCGGCGAGAGAACCGACTTTGGGTTCTGTAGAAGAAAGAGAGACGAGCATTTCTCTTATCCGTCCCTCGACATGCGACGGCGGCTCTTAACACAGTGTGTCAAGTCGGGAAACCGTCGTCGTGAAAGCATCTGCTCGTTCGCGCTCCGAAGATTAAAAAAGTTCCCTATCGTTTCAACCTTGAAAAGCGCGCGAACATCGCCCGCTTACAGCAAAACGCCGAAAGAGAAAGATAGGAAGAGCGGTGAAAGTAAGAGAAAGAGAGGAAAAAAGAAAAGAAAGAAGATGATATTCTTGCATTATTTTTTTTCTTTTTTTTCTGACACGTCTAAGACTTTGCTTAGACTTTCGTATCGTGACTTTCCATCCGTGTCTTTTCGAGTGCGACGTCGAAAGGTCACATTCATGTCCTTTTCCGCGGTGTGATTGCACCTCGTAACTTGTCACTTCCGTTCCGATCGCGTTTATATCAACGCGATTTTCGACAACGAGACGATACGAGCTGTCGTAAAACCACGAAAATGCGTGCTTATTTGACATTTCAAACAACGTGACATTTTGAATGGTGTTTTGGCCTCTTGCAACTATCTCTCTTCGCTTAAAACGAACAAATGACGACCGCCGAAATCTCGGGGAAAATTCTACGGAAATGTGAAGATAGTGTCTATTGTGTCTGTCGCGGTGCTTTAACGTGGCGTGTCGTCACCGCGCGCAAAGCATCTGCTCATCTCTGCTCGCTCGAGAGATTAAAAAGTTTTTCTCGGGGAAAACCTCGTGACAATATTGCTCTCATTGCGCACAGGCAAACAGCCAGACATGAACTGGTGTGCGGTTGTACGTTCTATTCGCTGGTGATGGAAGTTGAGTTGGGATTTCTTGGCGATTTCCGAACACGCAGCAACTCACTCGTGCGCGAAGCGTTCGATAAAGGAGTTCCCGGCGATTAATGGTCCTACAAAGTGTAATGAAATTTAATAGTTACAGGCAGGCGACAGGCGTTAGTACTTGGCTTTCCGGTTTCGCAATCTGTATTACGACTCTCTGCGATGTATGATTCGATGTATATATGTATCTAAAGTCCGATATATTTGCTGATAAATATATTCGCAGATAAAGCGACGCTCATCTTTTCATTTGAAATAAGTCAACACATTCTATTGACAAACTCTTGCGTCAGTGATACGCGAGAATAATATTTTTTAATGATTTGCACAAATCTGATTGTGAATTGTTGTTAATGTGTTTCAAGTCAATTTATGAAAAAAGTTATTTGAACAAAGATAATTTGTATTCTACGTAAATATTGATTCGCGAGATATACACAAGAAAAAATAGATATTTCTCCGATAAAAGTCAGCTTTTTCAAGAGTAAGCTCTTAAGAATGAATAAGTAAATTGAAAGCTATTTTAATTGCACTTTATAAAATCTTGTGCGTAATTCATGTAAACTACTAATATATTGTTACTTTATTTTTATGTATTGTATTAAATAAATAATAAAAAAATCTATTATTTGCTTACGTATCTTATTTTCAGAATTTATTAATGCCTTGTTATTAAACATAATTCTACAAAACAACTTTGAAAAAAACATATTACTAGGAATATCGTTTTATCGGAAAAAGATTACAGAAGCGGATTTATATAAATCGCCAATATCCTAATCCTTTCTTCCAAAAAGTGTAACTGTTAATCGTTAACGACGTCAGTTTTGTATTGTTTATTTTTTTATCTCTCCGATATCTCTCAACAATTATTAATTCTTTCCACGTAATTATAATAATTTGTATACATTTGTTAATAAATATTTAAAAATATTGTCAATCACTGTGTGTATCTACCTGATATCTACCTGATAATAAAGGATTTGGAAAACTGATACAATAAAAAATATTAATTATTGAAAATGTATTGAAATATAAAATTAATTAGACGTTGCAGATACGTAACTATTCGATATGTAAATCTTTTCTCTCAAACACATACAACTTCGAGAAGAATTTTCGATCGACCGATATTCTTCCGTGCCAAGAAAACATCTCGCTACCGAGGCAACATTCTGAATAATCGAACGTCTAATAATACGGTACATCTTCGATATATCCCCTATTCAGTTCTCTATCGTAGCGATATTAAAAGTGCAATTTCGCAGTTGAGTCTTTATTCTCTAGAATACAATATCGGTTACTCTAAGGCACATACGTATAAGAAAAACCGATTAAAAAATTGGAAACAAAACTCCTTTAGGAAATGTTCAATACAATCACTTTGTGGGAGCACAGAAAGGAGAATAAAGTAAAAGAGACTTGGATGCGAGGGTATCCTTTGAAGGACTCTTTCTTGTCTAAACAGGTTACTGTGTACATTTTCCTCTTTGCAAATGTATTTAATTCATGTTGTTCCTTTGAGAAACAATATTAAGTCTTCGAGTAAAAAAAAATCTTACGTTCCTTTAGAATGTATTAACTTTCAAATTAGATGTTTAGTTAGTAGAAAATGAACGTTGTAAAGTATGTATATACGTACTTTTAAAAAGATTATAACAACGACACTTCTCTGTTATCTTATAATGTTGCAAAGGTAAAACGCGTAGAAAAACTTTCATAGCGTGTTCCACGCGACTATCCACTTTGTGAATGGTTTCTCTCGCGGAATAGTAGTCCCGATATAAATTCTCCCCGT